ATCTCGGGGGCACTGGGGAAACCAAAAGGCACCGCTGCCGCTACTCCCTGGACCTCTCCCGGGGTGCGTTCTGACCAAGATTCCGAGGCGAATCCAGCGGCGGCGACGAGAGCCTCCCAGGAGGCCCAAGACGGGGACAACGGGCGAGCGGGTAGAAGTCTGGGTGCCTTTTCCTCCTCTGAGGTGCGCCGTTGCCCGGCACTCGGCCTGCTGCCCTCCAGCAGGACTCGGACCGCCTGCGCCTGTAGGGCGACGAGATCTGTACAGATCCACTGCTCCCTGGCCACGCCCACCCTCAGCCTGGCAGCGGTGTATGCGCGGCGCCCTCCTGGCTTGGCCAGAGGGGCGTATACACAGCTGCTGGGTTCAGGATGGGCCTGGCCAGGGAGCAGTGGACATGTGTGGATCTCGTCGTCCCGGCCTGGGTCGCGACCGTCAGCCGCCGCGCCGCCGCCCAGTTCTCCTCCGTCCGCGGCCTCGTCAGAGGCCACAGGTAGCACCGGGACGACGAGGCCCGCACGCCGTCCTCCCCCACCTCTGGGAGGTCACGGACAGGAGAAGCGCCCAGCCAACAGCACAGCCACACTGCGAAACTCCACGATGGCTGCGCACACACACACACACACACACACACACACGCACGCACGCACGCACGCACGCACGCACGCACGCACGCACACACTCCTGGAGGGTCTGGGCAGGCTCGGCCGGCGGGCAGGCTCTCGGGGCCGCGCCGGAGAAAGAGGCAGGCTTTTGGGGTGGGCCTTTGCGCGGGTTGGCGGCCGGCGGGCCCCGGGGGCTCGCCGAAGACCTCCCAAAGCCCTGGAGGTAATCAAATCACCTTTGCCCCCGTCAAGGGGGAGGGGGGAAGCAGGGAAGGGAGGGTGGGGGGTCGAACCGCCCCCCCCCTCCGTCAAGGGGGGGGGGTCGAACCACCCCCCCCCTCCCCCCTCCATCCGGGGGGGGGGTCGGGTGTCAAACCCCCCCCCCTCCAAGCGACCACAGAACGCGCTCCTTCGGATCAAATCACCTTTGCCCCTGGGCTCGCCGAAGATCTCCCCAAGCTCTGGAGATTCTCAAATCTCGGGGGCGCGCAAACATGGATTGGCGATCCCTGGATCTGGCGCGCGGTCGCCAAATCCATGGATCGGGGGAGGCGCCCTCACCACGCCGCCTCGTTCGGCGGCGGACATCCACGGTTCCCCATGGAAACGGGACCCGTCGCTAATCCACGCCCCCTTGATCCATGTCTGCGATCGCCTGAAAATTGCCTTTGCCCCCTGGATCGTTTTCTTGCAGCCCGCCGAGGGCCTTCGAAGACGCCAGGATCGTCCCGAATGGCCCTCTCTGTCTCGACTTCCCCCCCCCGCAGGGCGATTGTTTTCTCGGCCCATCCCCCAGTCCTATTCCTTGTTATCCTCCGCATTCCCCCGCCCCCCCTCCCTCGTCCTGCACTCATGCTGCGCGAACTCCGCCCCCTGCAACAAACATGCACTCCCACTCCCACTCCCATTGCGCGGGTCCGAATGGAAGCGCGGGGTACCGCGGGATCGCGGCTTCTTCACCACACCCCAACTCCGCCAACACTGTTTGCCCCTCCAAGGAGGCACCGCCAGACCGCGGCAGCAATCGGAACACTTCGCGTTCTACCAAGCATCGCAGAATTCCCGCTCCACGAGCCCCACCGACACCCTTTGCCCCGCCACGCAGGTCGCGCCTGACAGCGGCAGCCAATGGAACACCCAGCTACTCATCAAGGATCGCGGCTCTCCCATGCCACCGGCCCCACCAGGTCCGCGCTCGCCTCTGGGGCGAGCGCACGAAGAGGCAGCAGTCCAACAAGCGATACCGACAAGGTCTCCCCACTACTCTACCACACAGCTTTCTCCTCCCAGCGGGGGGGCAAACAGACTGGCCGGGGCCGATGCGCGTGCACAGCTCACTCCTCTCGCGCCCACCGTCATGTCCATCTGCCCGAAGCCCTCCTGCTGGAAGCCGTTCATGTCCTCCGAGCGGGGGTAGCCTGCCTGCCGGGATCAGCCAGTACCGAGCAGACCGCGCCAGGATGCGCGACAGCGCCGTGCGGGCGCCGGGCCGCACGGGGCCGCCGGGACCTCGGACTCGAGTTGGATAGGGCCGGCGGGAGCCGATGCCGAGTAGACTGCTTTCCTGGGGGGCTGTTTTTCGTTCCGGCTGCGTGTCTGACGGCGCCCGAAAACGGCCCCCGAGAGCCCAAATCGAGGAAAAACGCCGGGATTGAGAGAACATGTCGTCGGAGATCTGGGAACGGCACGAGGACGGCGTCCGTGCACCGTACCATGTCTGGACTCCCTCCTCATGCCCTGCTCCAACGCGCCGCGGTGCACAGTGGATGGCTCGGCCCCGAGGGCCGACAGCCTGCACACCGTACCGCTCTCGAGGGAGCAAGAAGGTGCCGATACCGCTCTCGAGGGAGCAAGAAGGCGCCCTCTCCTGGGGTGCGCGCTGACCAGGATGTCGAGGCGAAGCCAGACGTGGCGACGAGGGACACGCAGCGGTACTGGTACCTCTCCGAGTCCCTGGGCCGAGGATCCACATGAGGGGCAACGATAGGGGGGACTGGCACAGGGGGGGAAACATCGACCCGGAATCGGCGGTACATCGCCGATAGCTCGGCGATAGGCCGCCGACAGAGAATCCGCACCTTCCTGGGCAGGTTGGGGCTGCCGGGCCTGTGACGGCGATCCATGGGCGCTTGGGGGCCGATGCATCCCCCCCGCTGTGCCTATCCCACCCTGCCGTTGCCCCTGACTGAGTCCCTGGGCCGAGGATCCACGGAGCCTCAGGAGACGCCCACGCGACACGGTGCACACGAGCCGTCCGCACGAGTGGGAGGAGGAGGAGGAGGAGGAGGAGGAGGAGGAGGAGGAGGAGGAGGACCAGTGTAAACCCAAGAGTCATCAACGATGTTGGAATTAACTCTCCCTCCAAGCTCCCTCTTCATGGGCCCCTACAACGGTTCATTTCCATTGAGCAAACTGCCTCGTTGGAAGGCAGCCGTTTGAAGATCCTGAAGCATGCCACCCGCACAATCCTGAATCCTTCCAAAACACATTGCTTGGTACGCTGATCATGGGAATCCGTGAAACTCTTGTAAATTCTTAAAACGAATGCGCGCGGCGCTAAAGAGAGATCCACAGTTTGAAAAGGAACCGCCCTCAATCCGTGAAACTCTTGCAAACGTTTACAAAGAGTGCGCGCGGCACTAAGGCGAGAGCCACATTTTGAAAAGGAACCGCCCCCAATCCGTGAAACTCTTGCAAATGTTTAAAAGGAATGTGCGCCGCGCTAAGGCGAGCGCCACATTTTGGAAACGACCCGCCCTCAATCCGTGTTGCCAATGTTTAAAAGGAGTGTGCGCCGCACTAAAGCGAGATCCACACTTTGAAAAGGAACCGCCCTCAGGCCGCGAAACTCTTGCAATTTGTTTAAACGAATGCACGCGGCGCTAAAGCGAGAGCCACATGTTGAAAAGGAACCGCCCTCAATACGTGAAACTCTTGCAAATGTTTAAAAGAATGTCGCCGCGCTAAGGCGAGAGCCACATTTCGAAAAGGAACCGCCCTCAATCCGTGAAACTCTTGCAATTTGTTTAAACGAATGTGCGCGGCGCTAAGGCGAGAGCCACATTTCTAAAGCGACCCGCCCTCCGTCTTTGAAACCGCTGTCACTTTTTTAACTTCAGAATCATAAATGGTGAGAAAGTCTCAGGCGAAACGCCCGGCCCGCCCTAAAAACTGGCCTCGGGGTGCGACAGGGAGGAATTATCTACAAGGAGAAGGAATGGAGGAGGAGGAGGAGGAGGAGGAGGAGGAGGAGGAGGAGGAGGAGGAGGAGGAGGGGGAGGAGGAGGAGGAGGAGGAGGAGGAGGAGAGGAGGAGGAGGAGGAGGAGCAGGAGGAGGAGTAGGAGGAGAGGACGAGGAGGAGGATGAGGAGGAGGAAGAGGAGGAGGAGGAGGAGGCCCCTGGCCTGCACGCCGGCCTCCACGAACGCATCGTTGATCGCCCGCACGGCCTCGGACCGCCGCCGCCCCACCAGCAGGGGACCGCTGCCCCCGCGGTAGGTGGACGCGCCCGAGCTGTGGCTCTGCGCCTTCTTAAAGTAGGGCAGCACGTGCCGGTAGCCCCTGGGGGGGCATCGATCGAGGGGGGACTGGCTCAACAACGGTCCAAGAGGGCCCCCAGACGGCCCAAGAGGGCCCCAAGACGGCCCCAGAGGGCCCCCAGACGGCCCCAAGAGAGCCCCCAGAGGGCCCCAAGAGGCTCCCAAGGGGGCCCGAAGAGGCGGTATGGGGTCTGAGCTGCTTGGACATAGGGACTGGGCTGGCCCAAAGACAGCCAAAGAGTCCCAAAACGGTCCAAAAGGGCCCCCAATAGATTCCCTCCCATCTGCCCCTCTCCAAACCCCCCCCCCCCCCCCCGACGCGGTTTTCTTGTCACCGCGGGAGACCCTCCAGAGGTCCGACCCCTTCGCCGGGACCAGCTCTTCGTCCCGAGTTCCAGTTCGGGTCCCGGGGCCCGGCGAGAGCCCCTGGAAGCCCCCGAGGGGGAACGATCTGAGCATCGCTTGGCTGGTCCCTACCCCCACCTGCGTGGCTGGGCACCACTGCCCGACCTATCCCCGAGATGGAAACATCGGCAGTCCCCTTCGGGTTCCGAGGCGCCTACTCCCAGCTGGGGGTGGTGGGATGGTGGGGCTGAGATGCCATGGCCAGGTGGGGGTGGGCATAGGTTGAAGGATACTGACGATCGGGGAACCGATGCATCGCCGGCAGATCGGCGATAGGGCCACGATAGCGAATCCGCACGTTACTGGGCCGGGCCCCTGATTGGGGATCGATGCATCCCCTGATGAGCCTATTCCCCCCCTCACGTTGCCCCTGAGCACCAGCTGTCGCAGCCGGACTCCTCGGCCCACCGCTCGTAGTCGAGCGCGTGCCCGCGCACGTAGGCCATGGCGTTCAGGCTGGAGGAGCCGCCGAGCACCTTGCCGCGCGGCTGGTGGAGCCTCCTGCCGTCCAAGTGGCGCTGGCAGAAGAGCAACAGAAGGCGGCACAGGTGCGCCGCCTGAACACGTCCATGTCTGATGCCGCGGGGACGTGACCCAGGGACTCGAGGAGCGGTGGTGATGGATCGGAGGTTAGGGCGCAAGATCGACATGAAACGGAGTCGCCCTACTGGGAAATCGAGTTCGGTCTCGGTTCGTGTCGCGCGTGCGGGCGAGGCGAGGCGAAGCTGCGCGAGTTCCTGCTCTAGGAGGAGCCAGGTCAAGCCCAAATGAGTCGCCCCAGCCCGGGGATCCAAAAACACATGGGATTTGCCACATTTCTAAAATTCGGTGGCGCCCCTCATGCAGATCGGCGGGGTCAGGGTCCAAAAACACACAGGATTTCTTAAATTCGGTGGCACCCCTCACGCAGATCGGCGGGGTCAGGGTCCAAAAACACATCGGATTTGCCACATGTTTGAAATTCGCTGGCACCCCTCACGCAGATCGGCGGGGTCAGGGTCCAAAAACACATAGGATTTGCCACAAAGATTTGCCACATTTCTAAAATTCGGTGGCACCCCTCATGCAGATCGGCGGGGTCAGGGTTCAAAAACACATGGGATTTGCCACATTTCTGAAATTCGGTGGCAACCCTCATGCAAATCGGCGAGGTCAGGGTTCAAAAACACATGGGATGCGCCACAGTTCTAAAATTCGCTCACCCCTCACGCAGATCGGCGGGGTCAGGTTCCAAAAACATATGGGATTTGCCACATTTCTGAAATCCAGTTGCACCCCTCACGCAGATCGGCGGGGTCAGGGTCCAAAAACACAAGGGATTTGCCACATTTCTGAAATTCGGTGGCGCCCCTCACGCAGATCGGCGGGGTCAGGGTCCAAAAACACAAAGGATTTGCGACATTTCTGAAATTCGGTGGCACCCCTCACGCAGATCGGCGGGGTCAGGGTTCAAAAACACATGGGATGCGCCACAGTTCTAAATTCGGTGGCACCCCTCATGCAGATCGGCGGGGTCAGGGTCCAAAAACACACAGGATTTGCTACATTTCTGAAATTCGGTGGCACCCCTCATACAGATCGGCGGAGTCAGGGTCCAAAAACATATGGGATTTGCCACATTTCTGAAATCCGGTTGCACCCCTCACGCAGATCGGCGGGGTCAGGACACAAGAGACTTCCAACATGTTCAAATTCGGGGAGAAGATTTGGGCACAGCATACAGGAGCAAATGCAAAATACAACAGCCAGTACAACAATAGACTCGCAATCTCCATTCGTCTTGCCAATTACCCATCGTCTTCGCATGAAGTTCCGACGCTGCTTCACGGTGAAGCCAAAACCTCATGACTTCGCTCTTCCATGGCCCGTCCTCCGAGACAGGGGGCCGGCGGCAGGGGGCGAAGCCCTTGCGGTTAATATACTGATATTCCCACGTGTATCCACTCGTGAGTTGAAGTGTGCGTCCGATGCAAGTTCAAAGACTCTCTCAACCACCCCCAACCTCATTATCACCCCAAGGGTGATCCTACAGGTATCTGCCCGCCCATGCGGGCGGGCAGATATTCACATCCACCGCTCCTCAGGATCCCAAGGCACAACTCCGGAGCGTTGGACATGGACATATTCTGGCGGCGGCACAGACAGGATCAGGGGAACAAGCAATGACATAAATGCCAAAACTCGGAGGTACGCGCGGATGTCTTGGATCGGCGCAGGAGCCCCCTGGCGGCGCCTCCGGCGCCGCGCCCAGCGCGCTCCAAGGAGGGGGGTCCAACGCCGATCCGAGAAATCCGCGCGGACCTCCGAGACTTCTTGTGCTCACGCCTGCTTGCTCCCCGCAGGACACCGCCGGAGGCCCGCGCGGCCCTCTCGTGTCGGTGCTGGGCACGCCCTCCCTGCGCGCCAGGGGTGCCGCCCCCGAGAGGCCCGAGGGGGGCCGGCGCCGGCACGGGAAGTCCGCGCAGGCCCCCGATGGTTTGGGTGCTCGGCACTGCCCCGTCGGCTCGACGCCCGCCAGCGGGGGGGCTGGCTCGTCGATCCTCGTCGCGGCCATGCGGGGCCCCGTCGGCTCGACACGCGCAAGCGGGAGGTGGCCTGTCGATCCTCGTCGCGGCCCTGCGGGGCCCCGTCGACTCCGCGGCTAGCGCAACTTGCCAGGACGAGGGGGGAAGCTGAGAGCGGGCGACCAGCGCACCCGTCCGGAGAAACTGCGCGCCCACGGCCCCGAGAGTGCCCGTGCCGCCCTTTCCGCATGCTCTTCTAGCTGGGGCACAGTGTAGTAGTCCCAGTTGTACTTGTCGTTGGCCAGATTGAAGGTCAGCGCGGCGGGCATCTGGATCTTCCAGGAGTCCCACGATCCTGGAGGCCTCCAAGATGGTTTTCCGAGAAGATGAGATCGGAGGATCGCGCCGCATCGCCGATGCAGTGCCGATGCATCGGCGAAGTCGGCGATGCACCAGCGCCGTCGGCGTAGACTAAGCTGGGCTCCACATCGAGCCGCATCGCCTGCGCATCGGCGATGCGGCGCGATCCTCGGACCTCATCGGCTCGGACCCCATCTGGGAGGCCTAGAGAGCAGGAGGAAGAGGAGGAGGAGGAGGAGGAGGAGGAGGAGGAGGAGGAGGAGGAGGAGGAGGAGGAGGAGGAGGAGGAGGAGGAGGGGGGGAGGAGGAGAGGAGGAGGAGGAGGGGGAGGTAGGAGAGGAGGAGGAGGGAGGAGGAGGAGGAGGAGGAGGAGGAGAAGGAGGAGGAGGAGGAGGAGGAGGGAGGAGGAGGAGGAGGAGAAGGAGGAGGAGAAAGAGGAGGAGGAGGAGGAGGAGGAGGAGGACCAGTGTAAAACCAAGAGTCATCAACGATATTGAAATTACCCCCCCCTCCAAGCTCCCTCTTCATAGGCCTCCACAACGGTTCATTTCCATTGAAAGAACTGCCTCGTTGGAGGACAACCGTTCGAAGATCCGGAAGCATGCCAAAACATATTTCTCTGGATTTCAACGCCACATATCAACCTGACTGCTGCGTCTTGACGATCCGGAATCGTGCCAGGGCGCCATGTCTAAGGTTTCAACACCGCGGATCAACATAACTGGTGCACCCGCATAATCCTGAACCCTTCCAAAACACCGTTTCTGATACGTTGATCACGGGAACCCGTGAAACTCTTGCAAATGATTTCTTTAAACAACAAAATGTGCGCGGCGCTAAGGCGAGAGCCACATTGTGAAAAGGAACCGCCTTCAATCCGTGAACTGTTGCAGATTGTTGAAAACGAATGTGCGCGGCGCTACGGCGAGAGCCACATTTTGAAAAGGAACCGCCTTCAATCCGTGAACTTCTGCAGATTGTTGAAAACGAATGTGCGCGGCGCTAAGGCGAGAGCCACATTTTGAAAAGCGCCCGCCCTCAATCCGCGAAACTCTTGCAAATGATATTTTTCTAGAATGTGCGCGGCGCTAAAGCGAGAGCCACATTTTGAAAAGGAGCCGCCCTCAACCAGAAACTCTTGCAAATTTGGAAAACGAATGTGGCGCTAAGGCGAGAGCCACATTTTGAAAAGGAACCGCCTTCAATCCGTGAAATTTTGCAGATTGTTGAAAACAAATGTGCGCGGCGCTAGCCACATTTTGAAAACCACCCGCCCTCAATATGTGAAACTGCTGTCACTCTTTAAGCTTCAGAGTCATAGATGGTGAGGAAGTCTCAGGTGAAACGCCCGGCCCGCCCTGAAAACTGGCCTCGGGGTGCGACAGGGAGGAGTTATCTACAAGGAGAAGGGATGGAGGAGAAGGAGGAGGAGGAGGAGGAGGAGGAGGAGGTCCTCGGTCGCCCCTGCCCGCCTCCAGGAGCAGCACGGAGGCACCGTGCTCCTCTGGGGGTGCTGCCGAGGGCGGGGGGGCCTTGGCCCCGAGGGTGGCCCCCACCTGTCCAGGCGGCCCGTGGCCGAGAATGACCCCGGCGTCTCCTGGAGGGCCCCTGGCCAAGACTCTGTCGCGTTGCGTTATATGCAGATGTGTGCGTGTGCGTGTGCATGCGTGTGTGCATGCGCGTGTGCGTGTGTGCGTGTGTGCGTGTGCGCGGGTGCGCGGGTGCGCGTGTGTGCGTGTGTACGTGTGCGTGTGTGCGTGTGTGCGTGTGTGAGTGTGCGTGTGTGCGTGTGTGCGTGTATGCGTGTTTGCGTGTTTGCGTGTTTGCGTGTTTGCGTGTTTGCGTGTTTGCGTGTTTGCGTGTTTGCGTCGTTGCGTGGTTGCGTGGTTGCGTGTTTGCGTGTTTGCGTGTTTGCGTGTTTGCGTGTGTGCGTGTGTGCGTGTGTGCGTGTGTGCGTGTGTGCGTGTGTGCGTGCGCGTGTGTGCGTGTGTGCGTGTGCGTGTGTGCATGTGTGCGTGTGTGCGCGCGTGCGTATGTGCATGTGCGCGTGTGTGCGCGTGTGCGTGTGCGTGTGTGCGTGTTTGCGTGTGTGCGTGTGTGCATGTGCGCGTGTGTGCGTGTGCGCGTGTGCGCGTGTGTGCGGGTGTGCGTGCGTGCGTGCGTGTGTGCATGTGCGCGTTTGCGTGCGTGTGGGCGTGTGCGTGCGAGTGTGCGTGTGCGTGTGCGTGTGCGATTGCGTGTGTGTGTGAGTGCGTGTGCGTGTACGAGTGCGTGTGCGTGTGCGTGTGCGTGTGCGTGTGAGTGTGCGTGTGCGCGTGCGCGTGCGCGTGCGTGTGCGAACGTGCGAGCGAGCGTGCGAGCGTGCGTGCGAGCGTGCGTGTGCGCGTGCGCGTGCGCGTGCGCGTGCGCGTGCGCGTGCGCGTGCGCGTGCGCGTGCGCGTGCGTGTCCGCGTGCGCGTGCGCGTGCGTGTGCGCGTGTGTGCGTGGTGTGTTTGTGTTTTGAGAACAACAAGCAATCATCATCATTTTCCATCTGGGGGCCTTCGCCAAGACCCAGGACCGTCATAAAACAACCCAGGATGAAAAACCCGTCCAATGGAACGGGTTGAGACCCAGGGGAGTCGACGTTGTGAAAAAATCACGGCGTCGGGGGTCTCGGGGACGACCCCAGCTTCTCCAGGCGACCCTGGCCCACGATGATCCTGCCCCACACTGACCCAAGCCTTCCCGTGGGAGGCCTCAGACCTCAGACGGCTCCCAGAGCGCCCCAGCACTTTGGAGGTCGGAAAAGGGTGTGGCACAAAGGGGTATGGTGCCAATCGTGGAAATGGCGATGCTATCTGCGGTAAATAGCATCACCAGATTCGCCTTTACATAAAATTACCCCAGTGCGACCCTACCTAGAAGTTGGAGCCCCTAGGAAAGCAGCATTAGTTGCTATGCTATGCTATGCTATGCTATGTTATGCCATGCTATGCTGCGCTATGCTATGCTATGCTATGCTATGCTATGCTACGCTACGCTATGATATACTATGCTATGCTATGCTATGCTATGTCATGCTGCGCTGTGCCCTGCTGAGCTACATCTTGCTATGCTATGCTACGCTGCGCTATGCTATGCTATGATACGCTATGCCATACGATGCTGCGCTATGCTATGCTATGCTGTGCTTGGCTATGTTATGCTATGCTATGTTATGCTAATGCAGCGCTGCGCTATGCTAAGCTAAGCTAAGCTAACCCTCTAGGCAGAGCCAAAATGGTTACGGAAGGCACTGCTTGCGGGGGCTCTGGTCCGGCCATCGAGGCTAGCTCGGCATCTGTCGCACATTGTGTTTGCTTTGCCTTTCCTTTGCTTTGCTGTTGCTTTTGCTTTTGCTTTGCTTTGCTTTGCATTGCTTGTGCTTTGCTTTGCTGTCGCTGCGGTTGTTTTGCCTTTGCTTTGCTGCTATGCTATGCTCTACTATGCTGTGCTGTGCTGTGCTATGCTGCGCTGTGCTATGCTGTGCTGTGCTGTGCTGCGCTATGCTATGCTATGCTATGCTGCGCTATGCTATGCTATGCTGGGCTATGCTCTGATATGCGATGCTGCGCTATGCTATGCTACGCTATGCTATGCTATGCTGTGCTCTGCTATGCTAAAGCTCAGCGAAGCTAAGATGAAGGCAAGCTAGCTAAGATAAACCTGAGCTAAGATGAAGCTAAGCTAAGCTAAGATGAAATAGGCTAAGTTAAGATGAGATAAGCAACGCTAAGCTAAGGGGACGTAACTGGGGGAACCGCGGGGCGGATACTGGGGGAACCGCCCGGGGCGTGGAACACTGCCCGGCCCTGTAAGCATACCGAGTAAGAACCCTTCTAGGCAGAGCCGAGGTAGGCAATTAGCACCACACCCCTTTATACCATACCCCTTTCCTACCTCCAGAAGCACGAGGCCCAGGGGGGGGGGGGGGGAACACCTCTTCCGGCCAGGACCACACAGATATCTCCGAAGCCGCGTGCGTTACACAACGTGGAACCCCAAAGGCCTGGACCCCATCCCCAGGGCTGGGGCTTCTCATCCCGAGTCGTGGGGCCCAGTGACGGTCCTGGGGCCCAGGGAGGGCCCCGGAGCATAAAAAAACTGAAGAACCTCCCGTCGCGTTTTTTGCTGCGACGCGGAGAGGCCTGGGAAGGTACCCCGCGGCTTCAGAATGAGAGGCAGGGATGGGGGAGACCGGCTCAGGGGGGAAACATCGACCTGGAATCGGCGATACATCGCCGATAGGTCGGCAACAGGCCCCCGCTAGCGAATCCGCACTGTCACGGGCGGGGTGGGCTATCGGGCCCCTGTCGGCGATGAATGGGCAATCCGGGGACGATGCATCGCCCTGAGCCTCCCTGAACCCATTCCCTCCTAACGTTGCCCCTGAGGGTGCCCCGCGGCTCTGGGAACGGCGCGAAGAGCTGTCAGGGAGGCACCCGTTTCTGAGATCCGACGTCACGAGAAATCCGCCGACCCAGTCGGCGTGTGTGAGACGCTTTCGTCGTCTTCTTCGTCGTCGTCGTCGCCAGCCCCAGGGAAAGCTAGAAACGAACTGAGAAAGGCAACGTCGTAAAAGAAGCGTCGCAGTGAAGTCGATTCCCTCCACTTGTCCCCTCCCCGACGGAGGAGGTGGGGTAGGGGGAGGGGGGGGAGGGGGTAGGGGGGGGGAGGGGGGGGGGGGGGGGGGGGGGGGGGGGGGCATAACGGGTCAGCTTACTGCCGCTCCTGGGGGCCCAGCGGCCCTCTCCCCTCCCCCAAGCGGCCCCCCTTGTGGAGAAGGGGGACAGGGGGGTGGTCGGCACGGAGCGCAGGACCTCTGGCCCTGGCCCCAGCCCCAAGCCCAGCCCTGGCCCTCCAGCCCCGCCGGCCCCGGCCCTGGCCCCCTGGCCACAGCTTCGGCCCCGGCTCCCAGCCACGGCCCGGCTTCCGCCGCGGCCCCAGCCCCGGCCCCGTCGCCTCCGAGACGCCCGCCCGCGAGGAGACACGACACACAGCTCTCCGTCTCCTTCCACCTCGTCCTCCTCCCTCCTCCTCCTCCTCCTCTCCTCCTCCTCCACCCCTCCACCTCCTCCTCCTCCTCCTCCTCCTCCTCCCTCCTCCTCCTCCTCCTCCTCCTCCTCCACCTTCTCCCCCTCCCCCTCCTCCTCCTCCTCCTCCTCCTCCCTCCTCCTCCTTCCTCCTCCTCCTCCATCCTCCTCCGCCTCCTCATCTCCTCCCCCTCACCCTCCCCCTCCCCTTTCCCCTTTCCCCTCCCCTTTCCCCTCCTCCTCCTCCTCCTCCTCCTCCTCCTCCGCCTCCTCATCCTCCGCATCTTTCTCCTCCTCCCTCCACCGCCCGCCACAGGTCCCGAGCTTGTCGCAAGGTCATCAACTCGTCGTTGTCGTTGTCGTCGTCGTCATCGTCGTCCTTCTGGGTCGGCGGCACCAGCCGCAAGGCCTTCACAATCAAGATTGTTAAACAAAACCTCGATCGGAACCCCCGGTACTTTTCGAGCCTCATCGATCCGTGAGGGTCCCAGGTCCCGAAGCCGGGCTCTTTGGTCCGTAGCGCCGCTAGCGGTCGCGAACGCGTTCGATGAACAGGCGGCACGCGCCGAGCTAGGGGCACACAGAGACACACGAGGGAGAAGAGAGCGGCCGCAGAGGACGTAGACTTCGATCCACCTCCCCCCCCCCTCCTCCCTCCTCCTCCTCCTCCTCCTCCTCCTCCTCCTCCTCCTTCCTCTCCTCCTCCTCCTCCTCCTCCTCCCCTCCTCCTCCTCCTCCTCCTCCTCCTCCTCCTCCTCCTCCTCCTTCTCCTCCTCCTCCTCCCTCTCCTCCTCCTCCTCCTCCTACTCCTCCTCCTCCTCCTCCTCCTCCTCCTCCTCCTCCTCCTCCTCCTCCTCCTTCTCCTCCTCCTCCCTCTCTTCCTCCTCCTCCTCCTCCTCCTCCTCCCCCTCCTCCTCCCCCTCCCCTTCCAGCCCGCCCCCAGGGAGAGAAACCTCAGACGCAGAGTCTACGCCTCTAGGAGCGCGCAGGCGGCCTCAGGCACGGGGAGCCGGTGCACTCGCAGGCTGTGCGGGCAAGCGCGCCCGGTGCAAAAACAGTGCGACGCCAGGATCTCTCTCCGTGCCTGGCCGCGGCCACCTCCGGCAGCCCCCGATCCTTCGCGAGGCGGTGCGCCATCACGCAGCCGGCGGACCCCGCGCCCACGACCACGTAGTCGTAGGACTGGGAGGCCACCGCGGCCCCGAGCCGCCGCACGGCGGCCATCGGACAGCGGCGGCCGCCCCCACTCCCCCAGGCGGTGGCCGGCGGGCGAATTCGCGAGCGATCGTGACAGCCTGCAGCAAAACGACTGGAACCAAAATGCCTATGTGTTACCAGCGGTACCATAACCACTGGCATAAGCATGGTCAGCATCGCCACCACCCTGAGATCCTGGCGCTGCCGTTGTTTCACTCGTGGGCGTCCAAGTGGGGGAGGGTTGCAAATCATGGGCAAAAGCATGTGTGCGGACGAGGGGGTGACCAAGGGACGTTTTGAAATAAGGCGAGGGGGGCATGACATCCCAGGTGATACCATGGCACCAGCCATGATATCCATGCCCCCTAGTCATCAGCCACTGGCTAGCCGCCCCCGATTCAGACCAGGCGTTTTCGCCCGGTTTCGGTCCCTGAGACCATCACAAATCGATCCTCCTCGAAAAATGCTGAAGAAAGATAAGGTCTGGGGAGCTCTGGTCGCGATTCTTGTGCAATGTGGCATTTTTCAAAGCAGTTCGGAGTTCGGTCCCTCTTTCCCCTATCCCGCCTCGTCGTGGGCGGCATCATCTCCCACCCTGCCACCTCCCACTTCGTCCTCCTCCTCCTCCTCCTCCTCCTCCTCCTCCTCCTCCTCCTCCTCCTCCTGCTCTTGCTCCTGCTCCTCCTCCTCAACCTCCTTCTCCTCCTCCTCCTGCTCCTGCTCCTGCTCCTGCTTCTACTGCTGCTTCTGCTCCTGATCCTCCACATCCTGCGTCTCCATCGTCGCCGTCCTTCTTCCCCTCCTCATGATGATCCTTCTAGATATCCGCCTCATGCTCCGCCTCATCGTGCTCCTTCTAACCCTCCTCCTCCTCCTCATCCTCCTCCTCCTCCTCCTCATCCTCCTCCTTCTCCTAACCATCCTCCTCCTCCTCCTGCTCCTCCTCCTCCGCCTCCTCCTCCTCCTCCTTGTCCTTTTCTCCTCCTCCTCCGCCTCCTCCTCCTCCTCCTCCTCCTCCTAACCCTCCTCCTAACCATCCTCCTCCTCCTCCTCCTCCTCCTCCTCCTCCTCCTCCTCCTCCTCCTCCTCCTCCTCCTCCTCCTCCTCCTTATGATGATGATGATCCTTCCAAATAGCCGCCTCCTGTTCCGCGCTCCTCCTCCTCCTCCTCCTCCCCTTCCTCCTCCTCCTCCTCCCTCCTCCTCCTCCTCCTCCTCCTCCTCCTCCACCTCCACCTCCTCCTCCTCCTCCTCCTCCTCCTCCTCCTCCTCCTCCTCCACCTCCACCTCCTCCTCCTCCTCCTCCTCCTCCTCCTCCTGCTCTTCCTCTTCCTAACCCTAACCCTAACCCTAACCCTCTTCTTCCTCCTCCTCCTCCTCATCATCATCATAACCATCATCATCATCATCCATCACCAACCCATCACCAACCTATCACCAATGGCACCAGCATCAGCAGATCATCCGCATCACACTTATCACCATCGTCACCATCACAATCATCATCACCAACATCAACAACACCATAGCACGCATCCTTATTTTTTCTTAAAAAATCCTCATCGTCATCAGCAGCATCACCATCGTCAGGAGCAGCATTAGCATCATCATCATCATCATCATCATCATCATCATCATCAGTCGCATCATCATCAGCATCACCCTGTTAACCATCATACTCATCATTGTTATCATCATCACGATCGAAATCAGCATCATCACCATCGCAATCGTCATTCGCATCTGGATCATCAACAGCAGCACCATCATCAGCATCATCAGCATCAATGGCATCATGCTTTGGTACACTGGCGGCCGGTCAAACGGCACCGCGCCAGATCGTCTACGTTCCAGGATGAATAATCGCGCAGGGGCCCCAGAAGGCCTCCAGTCGAGGCTGGGTTCTGGTCATCAACACGCTGGTGGGAAAAGTGCCACCGTGCCGGTGGCCAGGCACTCCGCGGCGATGGCAGTCCCGAGAGCATACTTCGGGGAAAGAACGGACAAGATGGCTGGGACTGCCGCTCAGAGCAAGGTGGTATCTTTTTATGACGGCATGGGAGCGAAGAAAGCCTCTGAACGTTCCAGGTAGGCTGCGATGGACTAGACCACGCTGGGCGTCCCCGCCACCCCGACCGACACAGAAGCCTCGGCCGACATGTCGGGAACGCCTAGAAAAAGAGTATACAGTAGAGCAAGGTGGTATTCTTCACGATTCGAAGACACCCCTCCTCGCTCACCTCCCCATCGCCGCCCCGGTCGGCCCCGTCGATTCTCCTGCGGCTCCTTATCCGTCATCCGCCCGCCGAGCTCAAACTCTTGAAGGAGATCTTGCAAATCTCCTCGTCATCCAAGAGCGTGACCGCCTTGAAGATTTCATTCCCTACCTAGGCTCTGCCTAGAAGGGTTCTTACTGTGTGGGCTTAAAGGGCCGGGCAGTGGAACCCGCCCCGGGCGGTTCCCCCAGGATCCGCCCCGCGGTTCCCCCAGTGACGTTCCCTTAGCTTAGCGTTGCTTATCTCATCTTAGCTTAGCTTATTTCATCTTAGCTTAGCTTAGCTTCATCTTAGCTCAGGTTTACATTGGCTTAGCTTACCTTCATCTTAGCTTCGCTGAGCTTTAGCATAGCGGAGCACAGCATAGCATAGCATTAGCATGGGTGTAATTTCCTACCCAGGCTCTGCCTAGAGGGTTAGCTTAGCTTAGCTTAGCTTAGCATAGCGCAGCGCTGAATTCGCATAGCATAGCATAGCATAACATAGCCAGGCATCGCATAGCATAGCATAGCATAGCATAGCGCAGCATAGCATAGCATAGCATAACATAGCATGGCATAGCGCAGTTTAGCATATCATAGCATAGCATAGCATTGCACAGCGCAGAATGACATAGCATAGCTTAGCATAGCATAGCATATCATATCATAGCATAGCATAGCGCAGCATAGCATAGCATATCATAGCATAGCGCAGCATAGCATGGCATATCATAGCATATAATAGCATAGCAACTAATGCTGCGTTCCTAAGGGCTCCAACTTCTAGGTAGGGTCGCACTGGGGTAATCCTTGGGGTCACGATTCAAAAGAATGTGCGTCATCATCTTTCATAACCCCTGGCATCCGATCGCTCCGCTTCCGTCGTCTTCTACGTCGGAGCTCGTTTTTTGGATGTGCTGCGTCCCCGGCTCGAAACCGAGGGCTCGCATGGCCACCTTCAATTCCTTGGAGCCAATATCACTCGAACCGGCCATATCAAATAATCCGAACGCCTCCTTGATATCCTCTTTCTGCTCGTCGCGCGAACCTCGAGAACACCCCTGGGGGCGAGACTCGATACCAATACGATGCCAAACCAAAAATTCCGCACGTGCGGGATCTGCCACCACGGTGAATTCCAGCACGCTGTATCTCCGACAAGCTCGGTCGGGACCGCGAAACCATCATACACTGCTTCCGTCGCCAGCATTGGTCTCAACCGCGCAGCTTCGCGCTCGCTTAGTTTTTACAGCAAACGTTCCCGATTGCAAGCCCGATTTTGGACGACGCGGCGACGACGACGGCAGCCGCTGGAAATTTCGGAGGCGCGTCACGGCGGATCTCGAGGGGCGCCCACGAGGCCTCCAAGTTGGTCTGGTACATCTTTTGGGCCGTCTCGGCGCCCGCTTGGGCGCCTTTGAGGCGTCTTGGGGAGATACTTGCGACTTCCTGGGTCGTCTTGCAGCGTCTCCAAATCGAAAAGGTAAGAACTCCCAAACCCTTCAAAACTGAAAGGACAATCCATCACTTGTGCCTCTTGGACCTCTTGGGAGGCCTGTTGGGAGCGTCTTGGAGCGTCT